ATCAAAAGCTTAGCAGATTTCGCCATTTTCTCGATATTTTCTAGAAAATTCCGCATATTATCATGTTATATAAGCTGGCTAAAAAAATGGGTTCTATTTTTAAGAAACTAGATTTATTTTTAAGAAATTTTTAGTTAATTTCTAGTTAGGAAAATTCCTTCTTAAATATTTTTAAGAAATCTATTAAATAAAATGTATTTAAAAACAGTAGATCATCAAGCAAACCCCTATATCTTTTTAAATACGTGAGCACTGTCAGCAAGCTAATCTGAAATGTATTAACTTTTCGTTTTTTTTTTGCAATCTATATTTAATCTGAGCCAGAGACGATGACTAAGCGGTCGAAAGAACTGCCGACTCAGAAAACGAGAAACCTCTGGACAGTGTCGGGAAAAGAGCAACCATTTCGGAGGGGGTAGGCCAGGGGTGAAGGGGTCGCCGAAGGGCAGGAGGGGAGGACAACCCCCAAAGCCAAAAGCCAGGCCAAGAACGTAGAACCGAGAGCCAAGAACCCAGGGCCGTTGGGCATCCGAGGCGAGCAGCAGGACAAAAGGCCCACGTCAGCCGCATGTCACTCGAGGCAAACGGAACCAAACCAAACCAAACCGAACTGAAACTGAACAGAAAACAAAAGCAGAGTATGGAGAGTTGGTATGATATGGGGGGTAGAAGTATCCAATACCCTGGGATCCTTAAAATCTTACTTATAAATCGGATTATTTCAATTTGGTTATTATAAAATGAAGTAAGAATATAGATTCATATTATAGTTATTCTATTATATTATTATATAATATATAACTTATAGTATTATCCTATTTTAATAAACTACATGATTATTTTAAATCCTTCTTTATATTTGTTGAAAATTAAGATTTTTCATTTAATATTTTTGTATTACTTTTTATATCCAATTATTTGTTGTAAGACCCTTAACTTATCCTGAAGTCCTATATCACATAACCTTAATCGATAATCAAACTACCCTCACTTATAGGGAATGCAGAGAGCCAAAAGAATTTCAGATTCATGGCTTTGCTTGTGTTTTCTGTTGGTTCATTTCCGTTTTACCCACACATCCAAATCTTTGAATGTGTGTATATAGAGGGGGATTACATATATGTACAGGAAGAGTGAGCAGGAGAGGGAGGAGCAGCAGGAGGACCATCCACATCCAAGAAAGTTGAGCCAAACTAAAAAAAAAAACAGAGAAAAAACCGAAATGCGACGTCTGCCTGCGTTTCACCCTCCGACAATCTGCAGTCTGTCATTAATTTTACCTGCCACCCTCGCTGCGACTCACCTGTGCACCACCCCCTGTACCACCCCCTGTGAAAAGCCCTCCCCCAACCCCCTTTTATTTCCTCCACCTGGCACGCAGCGGGGCCTTCAGTTAGTCAGCCTTGTCAGCTCGTCAGTTTCAGGTTCCATCCACATCCACATCCACATCCACATCACAACAACAACGCAGCCACCCCCCACTTTTTCAAACACCACCACCCAACCACCAACCCCTCCCCCTTTTTTCATCCCTCTTTTTGTACATGTGTGTGTGCTTGTGTGTGTGTGTGTGGCACCCTGACAGGTGAATTATTTCCCTCTGCGGGCATTTCTAATTGGATTTTCCCTCGGTTCTAAGAAAAAATCTATGGAAAAGAATTTTTGTTTCTATTTCAGTTGTGCTGATGTTGTTTCTTTTTTTCATTTTCATGTGGCTGTGGCGACCTTCCGCAGAAAGCCACCCCCTCGGCGAAAGCCCACCCCCTATCAGTAGAAGAAAATATAAAAAGTAGAGGGCTACTACACGGAAAATTCAACTTGAGATAGTTAAAAAAAATTAATGCGATTTAATATGACACTAATAGGCTAAAAATTCTATAAAATATAACCATATCAATGTTAATTGTCTTAAAAAAATTTTGTATTTATTTATATTTTAGAAACTTGTTGGGAAATATGTTATGTTTGCTTAAAAATATATTTGTTCTATTAAAGATAGAAGAAAGAAGATATGATTTTTTTTTTATAATTTGCTTAAATGGTACAACTAAAAAATTGAATTTGAAATTTTATATTGATATATGATAAAAATATCAAGTATTCTTAAGAAATCGAACGCCGTGTTATTCTTTCTGTGTAAAAAAGAGAGGAGCCACCCAACCGCCCACACGCAGCAGCTCAGCCACTACCCTCTGTGTGACCTCTGCCCACCTGTGCAACCACCCCTCAACCGCCCACCACCCACCTGGTTTCTGCCACCCATTCGGGGATGATGACGTCGTCGGTCTTCGCGTTTCGCGTCGCATTCGTTGTTCCTCGCGCTTCACTTGGCCTGTTGTTGTTGTTAGTGTTGCCTTGGCCGATTCTTCGGTGGTACATAGAATCCGCATTTATATACTACCCACATATATACATATATTTACGATATAGATGTGGTATGTGGCCATGTCGTCGTGCGAGCTGCCTCATGGCAAAAGTTCCTCTGAATTTCTGATGTTGCTCTGATAAATACTTCACTGCGCCATTCTCGGTAGCTCCCTCTCTTTTGCTCACTGTTCCCCTCTCGCTTGCTCTCCTTTTAGTTTGTGTGTGCTTGTGGATGGATGTATGTATATCCTCTTGGAAAATCGGAGGAGGGAGATTTGGCCCACCCATCAATGCCAAGCACTTTGCAGCATTATGTGGCAACAACAACCAAAACAACAAGAAGGACAGCAGCACAGAAAATCAATATGGATGGACAAAGAATATATATATACAAGGCTATATACATATGTACCCATAAGACCAGCAGACGCATTGGGCGCACTTTCGAGATGGAAGAATCATCAATTTTATAATTTTATAAGCTATTAATTAAAATAGGTAGTAATATATAATAATATAGGTAATTAACTATTTGAGGTATACCACTTTGAAACCGGGACACATCTAACGAAGTTATAGTATAGTATAGCATATTTAGAGGTATTCCCGTTTGTAATCAAGATATAATACATTTTAGCCTTGGGCTACTTTCTGCAAACATCGAAGTTTCGAGAAAAGCAGAAAGCCTCTTTAAGAATTGCAATATCCCTTGAAATCGGTACTGAGAAAATGGCATACTAGGAATACTGTTAAAGATAAAGGAACTCTTTAAAAAAGACCGTCCGAATCACCTCTAATTAGAACCCTAAACTGCATGAGTAATACACTTAATCAAATATCTATCTGGTTTATACGATGCTTTGGCATTAGATCGACGTCCATGGTGAGTCACGGTGAGATCCGAACGATCCTCCATTCGATCGCATTGGGAAATGTGTAAGCACTGGCGTATGGTGTGAGCTTATAGAAAAGTCGTATCAGCTCGACGATAAGCAGTCACATCTGTTAAGCAAGTCCCCGTGACTGAACCAGAAACAGGCAGTCAGCAGTCGGCAATTGATCTATCTATATAGCCCTCAGAATTCTTTACCATATCTAGAGCAGAGTCAAAGACGCAGAAGCTAAAGTGAGCTCAGGTGAGGTGTAGTTTTTTAGTTCTTTTTTGTTTTATTTTATGGGCCAGGCACCGTAGGAAAACACGATTCCCAGCCGATTTCGATAATCGAATAGAGTCGAGTTCGTTTTACTTTCAGACTTTGCGACTGTAAGACACGGTACCAAGTGAAGAACTTGATGCTACCACTTGAAACTTGAGAAGAGCTAAAGGGAGATAAGGGGCTATATAATAACAGGGGGTTTCCAGATTGAGATGATAAATAAATAGGATTTCCTTAAAAATAATAAAGTGCTCAAGTTCTGATAGGGTAAGATATATTTATGGCAAATATATTGAGTATATATTAAAATATATCAATAGCTGAACTACTTTTCTGCATGATTTCGGTAATAATCTTTTTTTATGGTGTCATAGGGACCTTGAGTTAAGCCTACGAGTGATGAGGTGCACTCTGCGAGACACGCGGCTACTAAGCTCATCCGACTGATTGGCGTCGCCAGTCAAAGTCGATGCCATATTCTCAGTCCCATTCCCATTCCCATTCCCAATGCCCATTCCATTATTATTTTCATTCCGAGGCGCCGATAGCGCTGGCTGCAATTTCCAGTTAATTGCATTTCGTTGCCGACGTTGCGACGATAGTTGTAAAATATTTGTGTATAGATTTGGGTTTCTTCGTGAAGAGGCGCCAGATTATGGGCCCCATAAGGAAGAACCTTGTGCGTTTATGTAAACATTGCAAATCAATCGAACTATCTGCCACTTGTGGGGCTCTGACTTCGGCTCCCCTCTTCCGTTTACCTCTAATAACATTCGAGATACAGCCCAGTTCCGTCTTTCAGCTGCGGTCAGTGGGATAAGGAACAGATGCCGGATTGTTCAGGTTAAAATTTGTTTATTTTTTTATTCACAGAAGCTGTGCAATCAGGCCAGAGAAGTACCCACAAATTTGCGGTTGCTCCATCTGGTCACCGACTTGATAAAAGTAAATATGCGGCCCGAAAAAAAAACGAAGTCACATCAAGAAACAGTAAGTGGATGCCACAGTAGTACTTGCGATAAGAAAAACGGGTGCAAATGGAAAGTCATTTTGGATACACAAGACTTTAGTTTAAACAAACATGGATTAACAGAAGATTAGTATTTAAAATAAAGTAGGTATATAATAACAAAGTTAAAGAAAAATGTATTACCATGTATGTATAAAGGAAGTCTAAGATAAATATCGATATTTATATCAAATGTTTCTATCAATATGGATACGATAGGGATTTTTCAATGTTGACCTTCTATCAAAACTACTATATGTTGACAAAAAAATCTAAAAAAATGTAAACAAGTAATTCTTGAAAAACCGCAAAAGATAACCCTAACCCCCAAATCATCGGCAAAGAGTGTCACTCGAATGGCTTTTTCAAACAGATTCCCTTGCGGTTGACCATTTTGCATGGGACATGCTAACGAGCCGGCAATCTGCATTATAATTACGAGCATGATAATAATAATATACACATACCTTGGTCGGGGTAACTCGGAGGCCCCAAATCGCACCGATAAGATTGAAAATTTGCGGTCATCTATCTGCCATGTCCAGTTCCATGGGAACTGGAAACGAAGTTTAACAAATCGGAAAGTTCTTGAAACCGAGACGATTCCAGGAATTTATTGCGCTTCTACACTTTTCATTATCCATGAGTGGGCAGAAATCAAGACAGTCAGTTAATTTAATTACGTGGATGCATGGCGATCATTGATCTATATAAGAAATGCGAGGCATCAGCGAAATCCAAACGCGAAGCGGTAAGCCAAGACGCAGTTATGATATGTTGAGGTAAATGTACATGGGATTACCGTCTCAGCAGCTTTTAGGGATCTGAATGTCTGAGAACAGAAAACAAATAAAAATTAATATCAAAATTAATATATTATGAGTCCCTAAAGTCTCAGATCATAGATAACTGTTTGTTTGTATTGAGGAATCTTAAAAAAGTACTACGTTTTGATTAGTTATGGTCATAAATGATTTTATAAAAGATATTTCCCCCCCTGCTTTTTAAGACCCATTATTCTCAGTGCAGCGATGCACTTCGAAAGCCATTGACCTGCGTTTAGACTCAACACAAGGTAAACAAATCATCGCCGGGAGAATCGACCATTCTGGATTTCTGGAGTTACGACAGCACGTGTCTGGCAAGTGCTCTTTGGTATATGGTATATGGCATATAGTATCTGGTATCTTGCTGCCATTAATCATGCATCCACGTCTGACCCACCTGTCGCCCTATTGATCAATCCCCCTTCACAGGTACACATATATATAGATGTATACCCGTCCGATCTCTGATTTCACTATGTGCACTTTGCAATTTAATGATTCTGATGTCTCATCCAACAAAGACAGAGACGAATACGAAGAAGACCAACATCTCCACAGCCACGATTATATGATTTCGATATGTTTTTTTATGCTTTTCTGTATTTCATATTTTATTTAAATCGCAGTGGCCTGATTTTTATCTTGGCAATGCACTTTTTTGGTACTCGAATTCTATGCGGACTTCGATGATGGGTTTTTTGGTGGGCTTCTCGTATTACCGCCGAACCCGAAAAAGGGGCTGATATTTTGGATGGTTGGGTTCGTTTGGGTTTTGACTTCCACTTGAGTGAGCGCTTTTTTCTGTATTTGAATGTGGCGAAATTCGCTGATTCTGTGCAAAAGTCGATTGGGTTTGTAGATAGGTGCATATATATGCGCGCTTTGATATACACAGAATGAAATCATTGCCACACAGATTAAGTTAGGTGAGGTTGCTGGGGAGCTTTCTCAAGGGTTCTTAAGAACCTGGCCACGAAAGTTGATAAGCAAATTTCGATACTTCAGCCTAAATCGTCTGGGTATCTACAACTTTTATGGCACTCAATGTTTATCAATCCTAGGAAAGGGTAATCAATGTCTGACCTATAAAAATGGTTGGTCATTTCACAAGTTTGTAGTCGAATGATTATAGTGACTGCTCCTGTTTGTCACTTCCCATGAGAATAGGATTTAAAATTAAAAGATTACAAAACATGAATGAGGGACCTTCTAATCTTAATCTAAGTCAATTTCTTACGGTTTTATGCCTCGTTTTGCAGATTATTTTGGCAAATTAGTATCCAATTTGCTGCCGATTAAATATAGAAAAAGTCGTATATTGATAAAAATCACTATGAGGTGCAAAGATCTCGGCAGTTTAGTGATTTAGGGCCAGGCACGATGAGTTTATCGTTCCGTTCTGGTTTCCCCCTCTAACTTTGGGTTAGTCACTTCGCATTGGGTGAACTTCGAACGCTTTTGCCATATATTTATCACATGAGACGGCCATAAACCGAGGGGCAAAATGATAAAAAAACAAGGAAGAACGCTATAGTCGAGTACCTCGACTATCAGATACCCGTTACTCAGCTAAATGGAGATATGCAAGCAGCAAAGCGAGATTAAAATGCGCCACCTACCGGCGGTATACAGATTTAAGCGTTATGGGCGTTAGAGTGGGCGTGGCAAATTTTTTGGATCAATCGATAGATATTGACGAGACCAATACATTTCAGTTAAAATTTTTTATCTAGAATGAAAATTGTGGGCGTCACAGGTTTTTGCGGTTTGTGGGCGTTAAAGTGGGCGTGGCAAACTTTTTTTTGAGTCAGTCGATAGGTAATGACGAGACGAATACATTTCAGTTAAAATTTTTTATCTAGCATAAAAATTGTGGGCGTCACAGGTTTTCGCGGTTTGTGGGCGTTAAAGTGGGCGTGGCAAACTTTTTTTTGGGTCAATCGATAGGTATTGATGAGAACATTACATTTCAGTTAAAATTTTTATTCTAGCATCAAAACTGTAGGAGCCACAGTTTTGGGCGGTTTGTGGGCGTTAGAGTGGGCGTGGCAGTCTACTGAAACAAACTTGCGCTGCGTAAGAAGCTCAGGAATCTGCACGCCAAATCTCAATAGCCTAGCTCTCATAGTTTCCGAGATCTCAGCGTTCATCCGGACAGACGGACAGACGGACAGACGGACAGACGGACAGACGGACAGACGGACAGACGGACAGACGGACAGACGGACAGACGGACATGGCTAGATCGACTCGGCTAGTGATCCTGATCAAGAATATATATACTTTATGGGGTCGGAAACGCTTCCTTCTGCCTGTTACATACTTTCCGACGAATCTAGTATACCCTTTTACTCTACGAGTAACGGGTATAAAAAGCTACGTTGATATAACTTCTCCTTCTGGCGTTTTTTTTTGTTGGGCTTTTCTTTGTAAATTTTCGAGTGTCCCACGAGTTCGGGATCTTTTTAAGGGGGTGGGTGTGTCGGTTGCTGGGCGATTGGGCGGCATTATTCATGGCGCCTAAACAGCTTTGGGCAAACACCTCCCCGAGCCCACGAATCCCTCAATTATAATGAGCCACTTGAGCTTCCAGAGAACCCGGGCAGCAAGAACCCAGAAACGACGAAGGTTCCTCAATGACAGCGTTTGTTCATCGGGGCCAGACGCACAGATACACCCAAAAGTACGCCCCATTACAGATACAGATACGGAATATGTATGCATACATACACATAGGTATGTGCGCTAGGGCGACCCACATCGTTTGGCCATTTTCTTATTTACCCTTATCGAAGGCGACGCCAGATTTTCAACGTTTGATAAATGGGGGCGCGCACATTACGAACCTGGGATTTGGTTGGGAGGCAACATATATGTATATATACAAACATATGTACAACGAACATATATATAGAGAGGCGTATTTGAATGAAGTCGGGTGAGATAAAGAAGAGAGAAGCCTATCATCCACCGTCAGGGAGAAAGTATCTCAACGCTACCTATTCCCCATTGGAAACCCCCTTAGTTTTCGGTCCGAATCCCCATCTCAGATACTCTTTCCCGGATACACAACTTGCATTCCACTTCAAATATTGACTATGCACTCCACAGATTCTGTCCTGATTGTTGATGTTTTTCTGCCCACAAATACTTCAGGAATAGAGGATACTTAGAGATACTTCTTCAAAAGGTACTTTACTAACAGAAGAACTTAACTAAGAATGTAGAGATGCATTAACTAAGTCAAAAATAGGAAATAGATTTTTTAGAATTACAAAATTTGTTTCAGCTTACACCACATTCATATGTATTCCTAAGGATTTAAAGACTATGATATGGCATCCTATAACATGATATACCATTTGTCTACTCAAGACCTCGGATCATGTTATTACTCAATATTTTCCATAGAAAGCCGAAAAGGGAGTTCCAAGTGGCTCTTGACTATCCCCCTAACTGTCGTTTATCTGGATTTTCGACCTATCGATGATAACTATATAGACGTTTCGGGCGGGATCCACCGACGACCTTCTGTCGATACCTGAAATGAAGGCACTCGGCACGTCATCCGAAATTTTCCCCCCAGTATTTTAGTATTTCTCCATAACATATAACCCTCGATCGGTTTACATTCATGACTTGGCATCGTTGTCATCGCAAACAGAAAACTTTGAGACTTCTAAACCCGAAAGCCGACAGCTCGTTTGGCTTTATGGCTAGACAACAGCAACGGGAGAGAGTCGAGGAAATAGAGTAGAAAATAAAAAAATATATAGAGCAAATGGCATTACAAGTTATCGGTGCAAGTTACAAACCCTCAAAGTTATTGGCAAACAGCGAGAGACCCCGAAACGCTTCCCCTTGAAAACGAACAGAGATAGAGTGGGTTCTACAGATAGATATAGATACTACTGCTTTCCGAACGCCTTAGTCCCCCCTTGTCTGTCGATCCGAGGTTGGGAGGACTGAAGACTACGCGCCCGGCGACACGATTCTTCCCACAGACCTTCGATTCTGATCCGAAGAAATCGATGACGATTTTCCAATTCCACTCCTCTCTCGCCCACTGATAAGATAGTTTGTTTTGAATGATGATGTGCTGGTTGTCATATGCCCCCCGCCCTCGAAAAGCTTTTTGGGGGATTTGTCGGGGCATTAGATAATATCTGCATTGGAAGTGGGTCTGTCGACGGGGTTCCGAAGTGGGTTGCCAACTGCGTAACGCGCTTCCTCTAAAAGAAATTGGGTACATATTTATTTGCGCACCGAAATTGCTCACAACCTGATGTCATTGAAATGAAAACTAACAATTGATTTGGTGAACCGACTATGATCGAATAATATCTCTATTTTTGTGGATGTTGAGGCGAATGAAAGAAAGGCACTCATCTTTTGTACGTCTATATTTGTTCAGCTTTTACTTTTCTTTAGAATCTTAGCCTAAAATCTATTGAGATCCAAAGGTTGAATTGAAAAAATAAACACATCATCATATTTCGCCACAATATTTGATATCAGAACTTGAGAGGGGTTTTTGTTTGATTGTAACACAGTATAAACTAGACACCACAGTGATATTATGTTTTTTGCTTACCCATCAAAACAATTGTGTGTTAAATCTCCTGAGATGTTAGTGACACCTCGATAGGGGTGAGTTCTTCGAACTGAGTGCTTCCCCCAAGGTTTCCCCACCAAAACTTAATTCTCGAAGAGAACCCATTGATTGATCTTTGCACTTTTCCGTATCCGAACGTCAGCCTCGGACATCTCAAAGTTCGGTGAGAAGGAAACCGATAAGCGGCCATTTTGGGGTATTATTTTTTGGCTGCTCTCTTATCGCCATGGAATTTCAAATGATTTTTCTCATTAATACCCAGAACAAAAATTCAATTAAAGCACCTGCGATGGACGTGGCTTATCAAGCAGCCGCCCACAGGCCCCAAAAAACAGCCAGCTCTTTGGCGTCGCAGGGAGATATAACTATGTACGAGCGATTGTAGAGCTGCTTGTTCTATTTTGGGGCCTTTTTGTTGGACACTCTGCGTTGACGAAATCTGTGGCACCTTCGGCGCGACTCTATCTAAAAACCCCAAACCGTTCATTGGGTCAGATGATTGATATAGAATTTCTGGTGATTACTTCCATTTGGCGTTTCTCAATCGGAATCAGGCAGCAAGTGCTAAAAAAATATACACATACATCTATATATAATTTTGAAGATAAAAACCTGAAAGCCGGAAAAACACGAGAGAGAAAAAGATTGGAGTGGCATGGGAAATACAAAATTATATAAAATCATGGTCATCAGAAAGCCATATAATACTTTTTAGGTTGGGTACAAATAGTAAAGAATAAATATTAAACAAAGTCAAGTTTATTCGATTACTAGGATTTTTGAACATGATATTCAGATAAATAAAATACAACGATTTGAAAAGTTTAAGGTCTGTATGTATGTCTATATGATCAAGAATAAATATATTCTATAAGGTCAGAAGCATTTCTTGGATGATACAAATCCAAATTTCCATAACCTTTAAAGGATTTTAAAACAAAACATAAAAGTTAAGAATGATATTCTACCCTAATAAATTATATTTCTTACTGTGAAGTGGGACTGTCAGCGTAGCTTTATCTCCCCAACTGCTAATGAGTTGTGAGCTAATGAGGATGAGTACGGGGGAGCACAAATCATCTGTGGCCAACACCCACACAAAGTTGTGAAAATAAGCCCAACGATAAGGGAGTGTGAGGTGTGCAAATACCTTGCTTACTCGAAACACCGAACCACCGTCTCCACCATCCCCTCAACCGAAAACACACCTTTTGCACCACCTACGCATCCACATCCGCATCTACATCCGCGTTATCAGCGGGACAGGCGGCGCCTTTGTAGTCTCCAGTGGGTGGTGATGGGGCCAAAGTAACTGGCTCAGATATCACACTGCACAAAAGGGGATTTACGCATAGGGTTTATGATCCAAAAAAGAAGAGAGAAGATAGTGTGGTTAAGATGGTGTCATAAGCATTAGATCTAAAATTTATCTTAAAGGAAACTATTATATCTTTATTGTATCTTATTGGAAAAAGTTCAAAACTTTGTATTTTCTTCTTAAATTTCCATGAAATCTTTAACAGTTTTTTAAGATCTTGTAATAATCATCTAACTAAAACATTTTTAAATCTCTTCAGAGGGATATTAACATTCCCTTTCTTTTTTAGCACGGGTTCAATCTATTCTGATATACAAAATGTGTATTTTCAAAGAAATTGAAATGTATAGTGCCGGCCAGATGTGCCAGTGAAATTGGATGTTGTTGCTCAAAAAATCTACAGAGATGAGAAAGTCAACAAACATGGGTAGAATCATTCGAGAGTGAGGGGTGGGCGAAAAGGGTGGGGGAAACGTGGGTGTGGGCGGCATGGGATGGGATGGAATGGGGAAATATGATGTTTACCCAGCTTATTAGCAAACATTCTTATCAGTCAACTTGGCTCAGTTCGGTTCAGTTCAGTCAGGTTGGGTCGACATCGATGACGATCATCGGTTACAATAATGATAATAATGATAATAATGATAATAATGATGGTGATGGTGCGATGAAGAGATGTCTGTGTTGTCGCTGGGAAAACAAAACTGGAAAATAGAAAAAAGTGACGAGACGAGGCGAGACGAGACGGCATCGAGATGCAATAATCGATAATAGGAAACAAAAGCCAAACTGGAAATCCAATGCGTCCAAAGAAAACACACAGTATCCGTGAGATAGAGATACAGATGCAGATATATACTCGGCCGGGCCGACACATGTGAGGAAAAAACGCGATTATTTGCTTAAGTGTATCTCAATGCGGCTGAAATCGAAAACTCCAGTCAGTCGGCCAGATACAGATACAGATATAGATATAGATACAGATACATACCGATCAGTTGACAATCAACGTTCAAACAATAAAGTCGAAAATGGAAAACAACAAAACTACAAAACTTTGAACGTTTATTTTCACAGATAAAAGATACAAATAGCGCAAGGCAGCGCCACAGATACAGATACAAATACAGATATTGTCAGTCGCTCCAGTCAGTCTGTCAATACCATACCTTCTTTGGACCAAAGCTCACAGTGAAAAGCCACACAGGCAACTGAGGCTGATCCTCATCATTATTATAATCATCATTATATACCATCATCATATTAGCCACACCATACCCATCATCCATCCCATTCGCAATCCCAATTACGAGAGCATCTGTGTTGTCGCATTTACAATTCGCAATTACACTTGAGTAAATATCAACATCAGCACCCAGCCAAGACGATGTCTCCAACCTCATCGCAATGCCAATGTCTGGTGACAATAACCCAAAACCTAATGAGCAATGTATTTTGGCAGAGGAGTACGAATACGAGAAGACGATACCGGGTACACCCAGAAAAATGTTATACCAAGTATTTTGAAAATTCCCCAAAGGTAAAGTTAATTTGCTTAGTCACTTTAAGGAAATGTAAGGAATGAAAGAGATACATTTTTAAAAAAACTTATTTTTAAGAAATCAAAAACTCTTTTATATTTAATCTCCAAAATCTTCGCAATGAAGGATATTTCACGGAAAGTGGTAGGGTTTTATTTTTGTATTTTATTTGAAAACTAGTATTACATGATACCAATTGGAAAATGTCTTTTGAGTTTACAAATTTAACTCACCCTGCATACTTTTCTGAATCCAAAAACTCATAAGTTTTACGTTCAGTGTAAGGACTGGTGATTTGAGACGGAGAACAGACTCCAATGACGATCCACGAGATCGTCTCTGTTTCAGTTTCTGTTGTCGTTGTGATAAATATAAATCTTGCAATCGACGCCGCTCGCTCGCAGAGTTTTATTGCCTGATAAGGCTTGTGTTTCGCTCTCTGTGAAAACCGTGAAACTGTGGGAAACACATCAAAACATCACCAAAAAAATAAAAAACTAAACATCAAAGCACAAAACGCTGGCCAAACAATCCGGAATCCGGAGCAGTCCACACGATCACCGGAGTCAAGGCCAAAGTCGCGACGAAAGTGCTTATAGGATGGGCCTTTTCTTTAAAAAGCGGAAACCGTAACAGAAAACGTGACGATTTCGGGAACTGTGACTCATACAGCCCATTAGATAACAGGTGGAATTGTTTTACCTAATGTCATTCTATTAAAACTGTTATTTGATATCCTAATGACCCTGAAACAAAGCGATCCGTAAATCCCATTTCTGTTGATCCATACTTTGTTTGCAACGTAGTTATAACAAAATGTGCAGTACTAGAAAAAATTTCAAGTTGTTGTCCTATTTTATACATAAAATGGCTGTGATCATCACAACATATTTTTACAAAGCCATAGGACACCCGTATGATATTACAACCTTAAAAGCACGATCATCAAAAAACGTTAGGAAAGTTTTTCCGATCCGTAAACAAAGATGAATCACCATCCAAAAAAGTTTATAATCTAGGGATACCTTGAAACTTACCAGGGTGTTTCTGATGATCCCATTTATCACCCCTTTGGGGAGTCTCTCGAAACTCCCCCACTTATCTGAACCGCACACCTTTGCTTGTCCGCTGACTAAGTGCTGATAGATCTTACAAAGCGTTTTTTTTGTTTTACTTTTTTGGACACCCCCGTAACGCCCGTAATACCCGGCACACCCGCATGCGGCACCGATACTTTTCACAAAATTCCGCAGATCCCAGATAATGTGAAACCACAATCGAGTTAGCAGAACTTGGTAGTGAGTGTGTTCGACAACGATTTCGAGCGAAGTACTCCACGGCTCCTATCTGCCACCCCCTCAGCGCCCTGAACACGATCTATATATTGTATATATAGTATATCAACGCTCCAGCTGCTTATCGTTTATGGAGGTGCCTCTCTGGGGTGGTTGGATGTTTGGGAGGTGCTTTGATGGGTGGGTTCGATACTCAATGAAAGCGTCTGATGACAATGATGTGGTGCTGCGGTGGTTCAGTGTTTCAGCGTTTTAGTGGTTGTACCTGGTGGCTTGTACCCACTGGACAAATCTGATTCATAGCCACACTTGAAGAAATTCAAATTTTAATAATAATATTTTGTGTATGGAAACATTTTGTCTAGAAAAATTATGTTTAACATAAAAATTTCAATATTTTTATATCTATATCAAGATATCAATATCAATATATAGATTTTTTGAACCCTTTAAACTCCCCCCTAGTTTTTCGCTGTGCAGATAGGAAGCAGTACCCAAGAAAAGTCCACGAAAGCCACTGACCATGATGATGCACAATGGGTGGAATGGCCATCCAAAATGAGTGAGGTGTAAATTTAAAGAGCCGTGTGATTAGACGGATGGATCGATGGATCGATCGATGCTTTTGGCGCCCGCCGGTGACCGACGAAATTAGCACAGAATAACGGCACGAGGTCTTTCATTCTGGAAAAACCCCCCCGAAAATAAACCCAGATAGGACAAATGCCCGTTGGCCAAGTAATGAACCTTATCTCAAGACCCCGCAAGACGCTCATGTCCAAAAGGGGGCATTCGTTATTCATCACGGGGCAATCAATTCCCGTACAGCTTGATTAAGTGATATGGCCGCGGTGTTGCATCAAGCGAAAACCATCCATTCGGCCATCCATCCATCTATCGATTGCCGCCGTCATAATTCCCGTCGCCGCAGTATCATAAAACCCGGTCTCTGGGGCAACAAACCTACCATATAATATAATACCATATACCATAATATCTACCTGCTTGAAGAAACGCGGCGCGTGCGCTAATCGGCGACAGTTGTCAGCCGAAAACTATCTGGAACCCAGTACATCTATATCTTTGGGTGCACAATGACCAAAAATTATGTCCAGACTCGGTTTTTGCAGACCGGATCTCTTTCAGAGTGTCGTTGATCCGGCAAAGTCAATTGGTTTCTAACGAGCTTAGCTCCTGTGCAGACAATGTCTGAGTTCTATTTGTCGTAGAATTATGAATGGTTGTGCAATAAGTGCAATACTAACCGAGTCAACGGAAATAATGATATGAAACTTTAGGACTAGAGTTTCAAGAACTTATTATTTTGATACAAATTAATTTATGGAACATCTCTAAAAAAAATACACAGGTTTACAAACCCTAAATACGATGTTATACGAGTTCTAGATTTATATCAAATGATGAAGGCAAAATCACCTTCAGTCATCACTACTTTTTCTACGCAAACACTTCTTATCACTGGCATATCAGCATGATATTTGGAATACGTCGAAATGATTTTTCACTAACTTTTTTGATGAAATTATTTAAATAACGATTATAGAATTTAATCAATGAAGTATTGATGAACGTGTGTGGAATTTCAAGTAAAAAATCAGTTAAACAGGTTACATATTTTATTAGAAAATCTAAGGACTTATGTTTACCTGTGATTCCACATTTTAGAGAGAATTTCGATTCCGAACCGTATCGGATTTAAAGGGATTCCCCCAAACGCAATTGAACTGCAATCTGCCTTTGGCACTTCCCTCTAATCCAATCCATTTGCAATACCCTTTTGGGTGGAAAAAGTGGGGGCCCGACCAGTATTGACCACTTGTTGTGTCATATATATTAGTGTGAAATTATATATATTTTTTCTTTTCTGTGGCAATAAACACAGTCAGACCCCAGTAACCCCAAACACAAGTTGTCGGGGAATTTCACCGAAAAGCAAACTGCGAACTGACGCATTCTACCAGCTAACGGCATTTGTTTGGCCACAAGTCGCGAGTACCCTATTTCATTAGGGGTATATCATCATGGGGTTATTAGGCTTAAAATATTTTATTTATTAATATTTATAGTTGATTTCTTTACATGCCCTGGCATTTATTATCAAACTAAAAGTACCTAGTATAAACTTAGTAGGTTAGAGTTCTATAGAAAGTAAACAAAATTCTTTAATAATACAAGTCTCTTTGGAAATTTTCTTATAGAGGTTGCCAAAGTACCAGAGTTCAAATCCTGTCCTTATTGAGTATAAAATGTATACAAATAGAGGCACAAAACTACAACTATTTTAATCAATCTAGTACTAATATTTAATTTAAATAATATTAAAATATATATATGTCTTTTTAAAACGAAAATTTTTAACCGCAATTTAAAATTCCAGGGTATTAACCATTTCACCCCACTGTAGGCTCATTGTTCTGTACGATTTTCTGTTGTTTTTTCTGCCTTTATTGTTATTATTAAACAAGCCGTTTGGCCGGTCATAGTTATTGTTCTTTTGGCGTTGTTTTCGTGAGGGGCGGGTGTGCAAGGTTTGGGCAGAAAGGCAGAAAAAAAACAATAAAAAGAGGTAAAAATAAAAAATAGAAAAACAGAAAAATGCGGCGCGCGCCTTTTCAATAATGTTTATCAGCTGGGTGAGTGTTTTCGTGGGTGGCAGTGGGTGGCGGTGGGTGCCCAGTCACCTTGACATGTCACTGGTGACAACAGCAATAACAATAACACCCATTAAACACATTAACAAAACCCAAACAACGGCTAACAGGCAAACGAGTGCGAATTAAAACAATTATGGGTCTAGCTTTGCTTTAACAAAATAATAAACAAAAAACGAAAGTGAATTTCAGGCATTGCTGCGACAGAAACCATGCATACACTGAAAATATTATAAGCTATCAATATGGTTTTTAAATATGTAATCTATATTTATTTATATTTTAAATAGAATCTATTTTTCTACGACTTTACTGCTTTAAATAGAAGAAAAAGGAATAAAATCAGACTTTTTTAATATTATTAAATTTATTTTATATTAGAGATTCAATTTAATTTTTTCTCCAAGCCCCATGTGATAAATAAAAGAATACAATTATTGAAAAAATCTTTAGGCTATGAAATTAATTAGTAATTAATGTTTTAATTTTTTCCAGTGTAGAAAAACACCACAACTATATATTTTATAAAAGAGATATGTTTATTTTAATACTTTCTCCGAAACCCATGTGATTAATAAAAGAATACAAACATTTAAAAATATTTTAAGCCACGAAATTCTTTTGCAATTATATAAAATTAATTAATATTTAATGCTCTAATTTTTTCCAGTGTAGAATACCCCCACAACGAAGTGATAAAGTGGGGGAATTTTATATGGGCCAAGAGTGGGAGGGCGTTTTTCAGTGCTGAAGAGCAGAGCGTGGGACTTTTAGTTGCTGGCATTGTTTGCCATTTGTTTTATGCTAAATTAAATGCTAACTAAATGCTCGCAATTAAATGTTAATGCTGCCGCCGCCTCTTCTTCTTCTTCATATTTTTCTGCGTCGACTGCACTTCACCGTTATTACTTAGTACCGCCAACACTTTCCGCTTCCATTGAAAAAAAAAAAGGGAAATTGATACAGAAACCGAAAACGAAACTGAAACTGAAACACTTTGGTTTCTCAGCTGTTTGCATATGGCAAAAATGCAATATCTGGCTGGCTTTTAATGTGTATTTAACACGCATTGCCATTACCATTACATTGTATTGTTGTTGTTATTGTATTGCTGTTTCAGCCATTAATGTTATTGTTGGTATTGTGTTTATTGTGTTTATTGTGCCACCCACGCGCATGCGCAACCCACTCAAAGCACAAAAAGACAGTGGGACATTCTGCAATATTTTCAATGGGATGTCGATATAAATTAAATTTAAAAGGCAAGGTAAAAATAAATATTTCTAAAAATCTTTAGAAGAAAAATAAAGATTTTCTTAAAAGTAGGAAACCTTTAAAAAATTATTTACATTTATTAACAGGAAATTAAAAATTAGATATCTTTCAGATACATATAATTTTTTTTAATTAGGTATCAACTTTTGAACTATACTTATATATATATTTATATCAAAACCTTTTAAACTTGCTCTTAAAAAAACCTAAAAGTGTATCCAATATTTTCCATACATATTTTCATAATCCCCGAACCACTGTGCGAATTTTTCAAGTTCATTATAAATAAAACGTAAATATTATTAAATTGTGTACAAACAGCGCGTTGCACGTGTCGCTCTGTGTGTGTGTGTGTGCGTAGGGGCGCGTGTTTGTGTCTGTGTGAGTGCACTAGTGTGGGTGGTTGGGCGAGTGTATTGAACTCTTGCTGCATTTTTTGCACAATTTCGCCGCTTTTGTTTTTTTTTTCTTCTGCTTGCATTGTATCATTGTGTTCATTTATTTTATTTTTACATTTGCACTGTTGTTACAATTGTTTTGTATTAATTTATTGTATTAATTTTTTTTCGAGTGGATAATCAATCGAACGCATCGATTTTCGGAGAAGATGCTGAGGAAGGGTTGTTGGCCAACTAATTTACATTCTTTCGGCAGCTGACACTCTTTTAAGTTGACCTCCGGTCTTCGTTTTTTGTAAGTTGTATAAGGCGGTCAACTGTAACGACGACGGTGTTGCCTTTTCATTGAATGCACTGAGAACAATCGGAAATGCATATCCAGAAATCTAAAAAAAAATTTCTTTTTACCAAATATTGTATATTAATATTATCTATTATCTAATTTACTTAAACATTTTGAAGCGATGTGAAAATTCTTTCTAGTTAAGTTATTGGATTTTTTTTTGAGTGGTTAGACAAAAAGTACTTAAAAAAAGTAATAATTTGGATAAAAATATATTACCTTATGGTATATAAAGATTCTTTTTTCATTCAGTTAGTTATAT